AGAGGTCATCAGATTGGCAGCCCTATTTCAGAACTGCCGACTACTCCAAGTTAGCCGAGATGACAACACCCACGCCGACGCGTTGGCTAACCTGGCAAGTTCAATGCAGACTGGAAAAACAAGGACAATTATGATCGACTATATGTCGGGCCCGAGCATAGAGCCACAGAGTACAGAGCAGGAAGCAATGTGTATGGACATGGGGCCAAGCTGGATGGATGCAGTTTTTGTGTTCCTGAAAGAAGGAAAGCTGCCAGAAGATCGTAAGGAGGCACACAAAGTCAGATTGAAATCGGCAAGATTCTGTCTGACAGCAGATGGACACCTCTACAGAAGGTCCTTTACTGGACCCCTTTTAAAGTGCGTACACTCTTTGCAGGTTGAAGATTTTCTATAAGAAATTCATGAAGGAATTTGTGGAAGCCACGCTGGGGGCAGATCATTAGCCCATAGGGCCATTACCCAGGGGTATTGGTGGCCCTACATGCAAAAGGATGCTGAAGCCTACGTGAAGAAGTGTGAACAATGCCAAAGGTTTGCACCTTTGATACATCAGCCAGCTGTTGACCTAAACTCAGTATCCAGCCCCTGGCCGTTTGCCCAATGGGGCATGGATCTTGTTGGGCAACTTTCTCAGGCAACTGGGCAGAGAAAATACTTGCTGGTAGCAACAGATTACTTTACGAAGTAGATAGAGGCAAAACCTCTTGCCAAAATTTGAAATGTGGACGTCAAGAACTTTATATGGAGAAACATCATCACCAGATTTGGGATTCCAAGAGCAATAGTTGCCGACAACGGAACGCAATTTGACAGCAAACTCATCAAGAACTTTTGTGCGAAATTCAAGATCAAGAATTACTTTTCAACACCAAGTTTTCCCCAAAGTAATGGGCAAGCAGAAGCATCCAACAAAGTAATTTTGGATGGAATAAAGAAGAGGCTGCAGGCAGCAAAAGGAAAGTGGGTAGACGAATTGCCCAACGTGTTTTGGACATATCGAACTACGTCGAGAAGATTAACAGGGGAATCCCCCTTTGCCATGGCTTATGGCACAGAAGCAGTCATCCCATTGGAGATCGACATCCCAGGGATCAGAACCCAGGGAGTAGAGAATGGCACGAATGACACACTCTTAGCCCGAGATCTGAATCTTTTGGAAGAACGAAGAGAGAAAGCTGCAATTTAGCTCGCAGTATACCAACAACAGCTTGCCAGAGCTTACAACAAGAAGGTCAATCCAAGAGATTTTCAAGTTGGCGACCTAGTCCTGAGAAAAGTCGTCGACAACAAGAAAGATCCCAGAGAAGGCAAGCTTGGCCCAAACTGGGAAGGACCCTACAGAATTACTTCGGTATTAGGCAATGGGACTTATCGGCTTGAAGATAACGAGGGAAAAGCACTGCCAAGACCTTGGAACACTTGTAATTTGAAATTCTTCTATCATTAGATGTGCATTATTTTTGGCCGATGCCATCAATAAAATCTTTTTCCTTTTCTTTAAACACATATGATTGATAAAGTTACGTATTGGTGTTCTTGGAGACATAAATAATGAGAACCCAAGTAAAACTCAGGTTCACATTGGGGGCAGAGAGAAGACAGAGATACTTAATTCACTTGTTGAAATCTGTAACACTTTACAAGTTGAAGTTAAGCCGAGATGGTTCCTTATCTTCACTTGTTGAAATTTGTAACAATTTACAAGTTGAAGTTAAGCTGAGATGGTTCCTTATCTTCGATTGTTGAAATTTGTAGCAATTTACAAGTTGAAGTTAAGCTGAGATGTTTCCTTATCTTCACTTGTTGAAATTTGTAGCAATTTACAAGTTGAAGTTAAACTGAGATGGTTCCTTATCTTCACTTGTTGAAATTTATAGCAATTTACAAGTTGAAGTTAAGCGGAGATGTTTCCTTATCTTCACTTGTTGAAATTTGTAGCAATTTACAAGTTGAAGTTAAGCCGAGATAGTTCTTTATCTTCACTTGTTGAAATTTGTAACAATTTACAAGTTGAAGTTAAGCCGAGATGGTTCCTTATCTTCACTTGCTGAAATTTGTAGCAATTTACAAGTTGAAGTTAAGCTGAGATCTTCACTTGTTAAAATTTGTAGCAATTTACAAGATAACGTTAAGCCGACATATGATCATCTATTGAAATTTGCAGCAATTTACAGGTTGAAATAAAAGCTAAGTATATTGTTTAAACACTTGTTGAAATTTGTAGCAATTTACAAGTAGATCATTATTTAGCAATTATTATAACTTGAGAAATGTTTGCAAAGATAGCATTGAATAGTATATACTTGTTGAAATTCATGAAAAGTTTGCAGGTCAGAATCTTGCCGAAGTAAAGCTTGTAGTTACTATACCCGAAGTCTTTAACCCCGAGAAGATTGCACAAAGGAGGCAAAGTATGAAAGGCATGCCAAATGTTCTAAGTATAGAACCATGCAGAAGCAATCAAGAGAAAACAAAGACTAAAGCATTCAGAGAAAAATAGTTGGAGTTGTGTACAAAGAAGGCACTACGGCCTAACCAAAAGCAAATTACTCGGCAGTAACAAAGATAGGCACATCGGCCACAAAAGGAAGCTTACATTGTCCAGAAAACAGAAAAGTAAAAAAGTTCAAACAAAGAAAGACATTGGAGTCAGGCTCCTTCAACATCAACAGTTGGATGGGCTGGAACCTCGGAGGATTCTGGTGGAACCACCTCGGCAATCTTTTCCGCCGCCAACTCGGCGTCAATTTCGGCAAGTGTTTGATCAAGACTTCTATCGATTGGAGGAACATCAGATGTTGCTTGCTCAGGAGTGGTCTCCTTGATAACCTCCTCATCCTCCTCATGAGTTAAATCTAGGACTTGATCATCCTGGAGAGGGGACTTGGTCTCACTAGCATCTTTGGGCTTCCTTACCAAAGCTTTATCATCATCCTTATCCTCATCCTCAGATTCAGACTCAGATTCATCTTCAGCTTGGCTTGGCGAAGGAGGTGGAGAAAATGGAAGAGGAATAGCATCGGCTTGGCGCAGTGGTGAATTGTCAGGAAGATTAAGTTTCTTTGCAAGGGCCATCCAACCAAGGGAGAAACCCCTGTTGCACACCTGCCTAACTTGTAGTTTGTATTCCTCTGTAACATCGGCCATTCCTTGGGCATAGGCTTTTTCGTCGGCCGCTTTGATTTCAGCATCTTTAGTAGCCAAGGCCTCCTGAAGTTCCTTTTCGGCTTGGGCCTTTTTCTCCTCGGCTTCTCTCTTCTCGGCCTCGGCAACCTTCTTGATGGCCTCAGCAGATTCGGCCTTTTCTTCGACTAGGGTTTGGGCTTTGGTGACAGCCTCAGCCTGGTCTTCCAGTTTGTTCATTTTTTATTGAAGAGTTTTGTTCTCCTTTTTAAGGACAGAAACCTCCCTCTTCATGTCGGCCAACTTTGCCCTGTTTTCAAAAGCTAGCATAGAGAGAGAATGGGCATGTTGAATGGCCTGAAAGAACCCAAGGGAAAAGTTATTACACAAAATTTACAAGTATAGAAAAAGAGACAGAAAAACAAGTTGCCAAATGGGAGAACTTACTTGTACAGAACGTTGGAGCATGAGGGCGTAGTTCTCGTACTCGCTCATCTTGGCATTCCGCTCAAGATCGCCAGGAAGGAGAAAAGCAGTACTGAGTGCCACGCCGACATTGATGTCATCGGCACTGTCACAGGCTAAAACAGGCTTATCTTCTAGGGTGATTTCAGGCACCCAGGGAACTCTTGGTATTTTGGAACCCGAGGTCATCGCAGGCTTCTTTGACTGAGTGGACTCTGATGGCTGTGTTTCAACAGATCTTTTTGTGGGAACGGAAGCGATCTTCCCACTCTCAGCTAGTTTGGATATAGGTAAAGTGTCCTCAGACTCAACCTGAGTCACTTTAGCCTTTGGCTGGGCTTTCTTGGTTCTCTTCGGCTTTGGTGGGGGCATGGTTTGCGTCGGCTGAGCGTCAACATCCGTAGGAAGGTCGGCTAGGAGATCTTGGGCAACAGGCTTCGGGCGACCCATCTCAGCAGTTTTGACAAGTCGTCGCCGACGTTTTCTTTCTGGTATTGGGATTAAGTATGGGGCTGAAGTTGATGGTTGATCGGCTGGATCAGAGGTTGACCCTTGGTAAGCCCGAGATGTTGATGCAGTTTGTAGAGTGGTAGCAGAGGGAGGAGATAAGCTCTTCTTCTTTCTTTTCGGGACGTCAGGCAGTGTAGACTTGTACGTCGGGATAAAATTCAGTACCAGTGAAGCCTTGCGCTTTTGGATTGGCAGACCTAGGAGCTTCTTTAAGTCTTTGCCTGGAAAGTAGGACTGGCGAAAATCCTTTGGTGGCTTGCGAACATCTGCAAAAAGAATAAGACATTAAAAACAGACAAAGTTTTGAAGACTTGAAAAAGAAACAACTAAGTAATTGACACTGGGCTCTTACCCTTGCCCTCTTTAACTGTTCGAGGAAGAGGGTATAGATGGACATCCTCGTCTGGGGCAAACTCCCAATTTCCAGAGGCAATGAAGTAGTCATCTCCAGCCCCCTTGTTGGAGTCTGGAAGGTCGGCTACGATTTTGAATTCGGTGGACCTCGGCTTGAGGTAATAGACGAAACCTTTTTCTTTTAAGTTCAGGGCGCACATGGTATAACAGTATTGGATATCGGCAAGGGTGATCCTAACGTTCTCCTGCCTAACTAGGGCTATGATACCATTGATCACTCGATAGGAGTTGATGGTAAGTTGCATGGGGTTCAACCTATAGTAGTGGAGAACTTCGCGAAAAAAGGGGATTAAGTGGAAGCCGGAGTCCACATTCAGTAAAGGCTACAATGGGAAAAGGCATCATATTGTCTTTAGGCATAATGGAATCGCCATCCCCAGCTAGCCTAAGGTGAACGTCGGCTGGAATGGAGAACTCTTCCCTAAAGTATTCGAGTTTGGTTGGGGTATTTACCCTATGTCTCCACATACCCATGATTTCGGTGTAAAGGAATTTGATTACCGAAAGAAGATGTTCTTAAAGGATTATTGGAACCTCGGCAAAAACCTAGGTAAGTATTGGTATGACTTGTTTCAGTTTTCCCTAAAAATTAAAGGTTCTACAAACAAATCCCAAGCCTAAAAACTATGAAGATGAAGATCAAAGGCACGAATCTGGAAAAGATACAAAAAAAACAGAAAACAAAGACGAAGTTTCAGAATTTAGAACAAAAAGGGGCTATCAGAAACATGGAGAATGCAAAGGGTTGAAGGCCAAGAACAGTGGCAAAAAAGTGGTGAAACAGTGCAAGTGTTCAAGACATGAGCAAAATCGTGGAATAGACGCATCCAGATGAATAATCCAGTAAATTAAATGTTTGAGCACAACAGTAATAGCAAGAAAATTCCAGAAAAAATCAAGAACTGAGGTAAGAAGGAACAGCTGCTTACCAGACGAAATAAGGCCGAAATAGAATTCGCCGAAGATAGACGACGGTTACTGAAATACCAGAGTGGTAAAAGCTTCACCAGAAAGACGAACGAAGACGGTTGCAGAACTTAGAGCCTTAGCAATGGCAGATTCAAGAAGCAAGAGCTTTAGAGAGAGAAAAGCAAGTAAATCGAATACAAAGGTAAGGAAAGAAAGAGGGAAAAAACAAAGTTTTGTTAAAAACTTGAAACGGCAGCAAAACAAGGCATTTAATGCGCCTAGAACATCGCATACGTCAGACGGCGCAGACAGACGGAAGACGGCTTATAGGCGTGTCGCAGACACGGGCCAATGAAGATATAACACGTACGTGGAACGGTTGAGAAGTGATGCATGACAGCTCATACGCGTAGGAGAGTTCATTTGAATTCTTGTTCTTGAAAGAAGACGTGTCGGCCTGAGATGAACAACCTCGGCTGAAGAGTTCTTGTGCCGAAGTACTGGAAAGAGGAATAATATAGGTTCCATCACCTCAGAATGCCAAGCGAGGTAATAGAACCTAGGGGGCAGTTGTGGGGATGTATTTTCTGAATACCAACACGAGGCAAGGTGACGCCGACGTGGCAACTGAAGTGCCACGTGTCCTGGTTGTGACGCCGAGGTTATCTCCGAAGATATCGAAATCCGAGATAAGCGGATAATGGATAAAGGGCAAGAGTTCTAGAGTAAAGAGAAGACTTTGCTAAGATAAGGATAAAGCTCTTAGGGAGTTTATCCTTATCTCTTGAGGAATCCAAAGTAACCACTGAATTGGAGTCCATAGAATTCAAGCTTCTAGTAGGACTTGGATAAAGTAAACTATAAAAGAAAGGCACCCCCATAGATCTAAGGTACGCAATTTTATACTTTAAGTAGTGAGTTTAGCACTTGTTATCTTTGAGAGATATACTGACTTGATCGTCGGAGTACCACGGGTGGAAGAGCCACTGCCGGAGCCTTTTCTTTCTGATACAGGTTTGCTGAAGCCATCTATTCTGCCGGTGCTCTTTAGCTGATTACTAGGCGGGCAGTGTGGTCAGAAAATTACCCACACAATATATATATAAGTCAATTATAGAAACCTCCAGTTACTTTAATAACATTGTAAACGAGGAAAAAAAAAAATTTGCACTACTGGAGCACAAAAAGAAATAAAATGGAAAAGTGAGATGTGAAAATGGCACGGTTAGATAGAAACTTGGCAAAGTCAAATAATCATGTTCTGAATTGGTTAAATAGAATCATATTATAATCTATTTTTTAATTATATCATATTTTTAATGTATTCTTAATTCATTATTCTTTCCGGTATATGGAATACCTCTTTGAAGATTAACAATTGATTGAATAGATCAATAGATAAGAAATCTAAGAACTTACCTTTCCAGTTATCTTGTTGTACATGGCAATAACATCCTGTACTGTGGTCTCAAAGTGTGTCGTTGCGTCATAACTCTGCAAGTAATTCTGAACTCAGTATTTCATCATAACAATAAAGTCTCATAAAATGGACAAAAGAACCAACGAAGCCAGCCAGCCAGCCGATTTCAGGGCCGGCCCTGGGCTAAGGCGAGTAAGGCCTGTGCCTAGGGCTCCCAAAATTTGGCCCAAAATAGGGTCCCAAATTTTGAAAATCCATTATACTATCAAGTTTTAAATAAAATCCAATTATTGTTAGAAGCCTTCAAAAATAAAACAATCTACTAAAATAGAAGCCCTCCAAAATAAAACAGCCCACTATAAAATGCCCAAATAAAAACATATTGCAGGCCTATATTAAAAACAAATAAAAAAATTAGTCCAGTTGAAAAAACAAACAAAGGGCCCAAATTTACTCAAGCAAACTTGAGTGGCCACTAGTAAATATTTTTTTTTTTTTGGGCGTATGTACAAGGGGCCCAAATTTATAAGCTCACCTAGGCCCCTGAATTTTCAGGGCCGGCCCTGGCCGATTTTCATTAGAGTTATTGTAGATGCACCCATTATGAGGATTTTATGAAAATAACAGCAACAACAAAAATTAGGGTTTTTAAAATCACAACCAAAAATAGATTTCTAAAGGTCATACCAGCACACAAGGCTCCCATTTTACTGTAGGCAAGCAGCCTTACCCCTAAAAGTAGAATTTTAAGATGGCAATCAAATTTACATCTTTCAAAATTGTGAATATCAAGCTGAAATTCCCTGAATATGAGAGGGTAAACAAGCTTGTAGGCAAACATTTATCGCAAAGTCAATATGAGCTCACTAAAATCAAGATGTCACTACATTCATTACATATGTAGCAGGTCCCAATACAAAAAATAGCAGTCATTAGCAAATATTTTGATACCAGATGCACGTATTGTTATGTTATAGCATGTACCTCAACATCATTTAGATTTCAGACTTTCAAGCTAGTGAAGAATAGCACAAATAGCAAAACACATCAACCAGTCTTCAGTAACTATTGCAAGTGTACATTTAAGTCTACTTACCATAGATGTAAAGCAATTGTCAACATCATGGTTGTTTGTAGGTACAAATCTGTCATAAGTTTCAAAGAATATCTCGTCTACAGGTCCAAGTAGGTCTATGCCAGGCTTCAATTCCACCTCAGGGTTGTCAGTCTCTGCTTCTGTGGTAACAAAAGCAATGTATTTCCCTTTTGAAGCCACGTTGTGGGTATAGGAGCAAGAGAACAGATACCTGTAGCAGTGAACAAGTAAATAAAAATAGCAGGTAGCCAGAATCAGAAGTTTCTAACTCAAATTTATTATTATTATTTTTTTTTTTTTGTGGATGCACTGATGACTACAGAATCAACTAATCGCCCATGTTTTAAGTTTGATTTTACGGGTACAATAACTTTCAATTTAGCTCAAATTTTATTGCCAAATGCATGATTTTGCTTGTATACGATAAGACAAACGGGGCTGAGAGTAATAAGCATCTCTGTGTAAGCTGTCAGATGGCACCATTTTCTCAACATTTCTAGTGAACTCTCTCCTTCAGAGTAGTTACTCGCTCCAATTTGACGACTCTATGGAGACATCTTGGTGAGGGAACCACCTTTTCCTTGTGGCTCTTTGTCGTAAAAAGAAATAACCGCAAATTACAAATATGTTGCATGATGCTTATGACTTATATTGCTTGGGGAAAAAAAAATATTAAAGAAAATGCCCTTGCATCTTCTATCCTGACAAATAATGATGTAGACAAAAAATAATTAATTTGATGCTTATGACCTATGAAGCATGGATACTTCAACAAACATGTCATATCTGTACCGGGTACTGGTATTTCGTATGGTACTTCTACATATATGCTACATACACGAAACACGTACCCAAATTTTTTCTTCTTAATTTTTGACATACCCGAAAGTACCTAGTATATACCTTTACTTTTGGCATTAAATGTGAATCGTAGGTTGGATCTTAACAAATTAAACCATTTAACTAATTTTTGCATTACTCCAAATTAAAATAAATATTTTTTTTTAGAAATGTACCCAACCGTACCCATACTCTACTTCTTTAAAATTTTACCGTATCGACGTACCTGTACCAGTACTCGTACCTGTGATTCATGACTTATAACTAATATTGCTCGATGCTTATATCTGCTACACAAACAATGATGTAGAAAACAGAGTCTTCAAAGCATTTCTTACTCATACACATTGACATACAGGAAAATAGTGGACAGAATCCATAGGTATGCATGTGGATGGAGCCTCCAAACATTTGTTTCATGTAGCTTAAAGGAAATTACAGAAGCAACAACCAAGTAAATTTAGCATACATACCTGATTTACGGCCAAGTTGCTTCTGTGGCAGAATGACCTGGACTGAGTGAGAGTCCTTGGTGTCTGGGATTGGATGGCTCATTATGCATACAGCACGAGCAACTTTACCAACCTTCTGAACCTGTTCAATGTTTACATCTCAAAAGGACTGGCAACTCTAACCACAATGTGCAGTAGAATGAAGACACCAATGGCATTGCTCTATTGTTCCTAATTATTTCATTTTGGCAGACTTAGTAAACTCATCAATCCGTACTAATGACTGTTGGAAACTCTTCTATTTTAAAATTTTCAGTGTTACCTTATCTGGTAAATATGATGGATCACAAACAACTTTCTTGCATTTAGCAGTTTCTCCTTCAGAGGTCACTCCAACAGCTTTTCCATCGGCATCAAACTCAACCTGTAATCCAAGGCAGACATGGTCAATGGAAAGTTCGAAGGCAAGCAGTAGAAGCATGCCAGTCACTGAATCATCTGTTATTTTAGCAGTAGAAGTTACATGAGGCACTTCAAAAAATATACAGAGATGTACTAGTTGAACAACGAGCCAATCCCATCAAAAATATATATATATTGAGCCAGTGATCTGTTAACCTTAAAAAAGGCACTAGTAGAAGATATAAAGAACTGCATTAGTTCAACATTTTTTTAGGACTTTAAGAATTTTAGAGAACAAGGGAAACCAATCATAAATAAAGATATCAACATGATTCTGGAGTGACCACTGTAAATATTAGAGAATTTACAGTTTGAATCTCAAATTCATGGAGGGATGCCCTAAAAATGAGTCAAATAATCAAGCATAGAGGTAGGATGCAGAATGTATTAAACAAATGTACAAACAGCCAAGGTTCCTGACAAGAGGTGAGCACATTCATCCATCATGCAGAGGCTTCCTGGGGAAAATATGGGTAGATAAAAAGATGGCTTCATAACAACCACTTGGAAACTGCTAGTGCTATAGGCCTCACAGGATTCTGAAAGCAAATGTCATCACCAATAATGATAAATGAGCCTAGGTTATGACAGAGAAATACCATATTGAGCCTGAAATATGCATCAATAAAATTTTAGATACTGTTGACAGCAGAACTCAGTCATTATGGGGTTTCAAGGCAAGAGGAGGCTTGTGCATCTTATAAAATAATTAGTCTTTCTGGATACTGAAATACAAAATTACCTTGCATTCTGGCTTGTTGAGCATGTAAGTACCACCATAAACTGCACTTAAACGAGCAAATGCCTGCCAATAACAGCACGGGCTGTGTGAAAGCAACTCAACATAGGTCCCTACATGAACAAAAAGGTATATAGCAAGACAGACCTGAGGCAGTTCTCCCAAGCCATACAGCGGATAGATATAAGGAGATCCACCTTGAAAGCGTGCCAGAGACTCTGAATAGAGCTTTTGGATTGAATGCCATAACAGTTAGCAAATAATTTAAGTTTCATTGACAAGCGACTTCACACAAGGAAAGAACATAGTCTTGTGCAAGAGATAATGGAGAACTACCTAGTTATGAATTTTCGTTCTTTTACAGTACTTATGGTTATGGTTGGATGAACATATTGCACCCCATGTCATTTTTTTCTTTCTTTTCTTTTTTTTAAAAAAATAATCAAGGAAGAGAGTTGAGAAAAAATTATTTTACCTTCACTCTCTTCACAAAATCCATAGCAGGCTGGTCCAAATAGCTATCATCAATATGTAGTGCCAAGGCATGACCAAGGAAGTCGATGGTATCATCTTCAAGCCCATATTTTCTGCAGCAACAAAAACGTGAATAAGTTAATTCATACTGTTGAATAAGAGGCAATCAAATGCAAAATTCATATGATGGTCATGAACTTATTGTTATTGCTTTTTCATTCATCATATGCAGATAAGCAATCATAGTGTATGTTACAAAAAAATAAAAGAATAAGAAGAAAGAAAATAGGCATTATTAAGACACCCATAGTCAATTGTGTTGAAAATTACAATAATCAATGACAAAGTTCTCCATCAACCAGCTTTCAATTGTCAAATAGCAGTCAAAACATCTAAACAAAACCTGACTCTTTGAAGCATGCATTTCCATCAAAGTTGTGTCCTGAAAACACCAGTACTTCCCCAATTACAACTGAAAAACCAATAGCTACTTAATGTTGCAACTAAATAAGGCCCACCGTCTAATATTCCTCATTTGGTATAGTGTGTAAAAAAACAAATCAACTAGGTTTTGCTCATCTCAACAATTTGGGTCAAATTATTTAGCAAAGGAAATATTTTTGAAGAAGATCTATGAAAAAGAGAAAAATAAGACAAGAAAAAGAAACTGCACATTAAACGGTTATAACTCATCAGCCCCACAATTGTTCACCAAATGTGACCAATTAGATGATCACCCTAATCCTTTTGAGATTGACGAGTGAAACATGTCTTTTAGTCTTAATTAATAGAGAAGGTGCTATTGAAGAGAAGTAAACATGCAACTCTTGAATCAATATTTATAGCTTCTGCAAGTCTTCTCTTGTAAGATTGAGTCAACTGTAATGTAACACAGTAATAGGTAATGAAATAAAAAACAAGGTTGTGATATATACGAGATAAGATCTCTAGCTGTAACTTTGTTCAAATCCAGCCCTTCGTGAGATTTGGGATCATTCTCCTCATAGTCTTGTACATAAATAAAGAACCTTCGAGCACGGCGCTTTTCAAATAGTCCCATCAGTGTGGATTTCAGTGCCTCAACGTCAGTTGCTGGAACTTTGTAAATCTGAAACAATATATATATATATTAGAGGGAATAAGTTCAGTCAGAAAAGTAATAATTTCATTTTAAAATGTTGAAAGAAAGAATAAGAACAAACAGTGAGTGATCAGTTTTGCAGAGGAGATGCGGAAAATATAGCGTACCTTCCCTTTCTTGTACACAAAACTACCATCTACAGCTTTGAAGTTTAGGTACTTAGTCACATTAGTGTGGATGAGGACACGTACCAAACCTCCATTTGCCATCATGAACTAACAAAGAACATAGAATGTCTTTCACCATAGCACATACCCAGCATAAAAGAGGGTGTATATAATAAGAAAAATACAAACCATACACAAAAAATTCCAGGTTAAAAGGTGAAGAACGTAAAAACAATGCCAGCATTTCAAGGTAAAATATTAAATGATGCTAGTTTGCTTTAGTGGGTGACCTCATAACCAATAAACCATAGACTTAAGAACAAGTTCCCAATTCATTAATTCCAGAAGAAGCAATGTACCAATTTATATGATCCAGTGAAGCATTGCTTGGTTCAAAATCTGTAGTGTAACTAACTAAAGCATGACACAAGTTGAAGCAAATTATCACGCACCATCAAATTGACCACAAGTTCCCTTACAAACAAGTGTACAAGCAACTTGATCTGAAGTTAAACTAATTAACAAATCCAAGGTACACCGCATGAAGGTCACATACTAAATATAAGGGTAATATTCAAATAATTAAGTGGGTGTTTGGGAAGTGGCTATTTTAGAGGCTTTTTGATTATTTTAGTAGGCTATTTTAGTTTTTATGTTTGGGAAGTTGGGTTAAATTTTTGGGTTGGTTCTTGTTTTGAAAAATGTGTTTGAAAAGATATTTGAGGTTGAAATGACAAATTTGCCCCTAATTTTATTTTTCCCAAAATTGATCTACGGGGCCAAAATGGTAATCTAACTGCCTGTGGGATGACAGTAGTAGCCTGAGCCTACACTGTGTTAGTCACAGTGTAGGCTGTCCATGCATGACAGCCGCTGCCTTTTCTTTATTTATTTTTTTATTTTTTATTTTTTATTTTTTTAAATCAATGGGTTAGTGTGGCTAAAAGGCTTTTTTTTTTTCTTTTTTTTTTTCATATTTGAGGCTAAAATAGCCTGTAGCCACGGTTCCCAAACACTGCCTAAGTGAGAAAGTAACGAAAGTTTGTCAATTTAAAATGGGAAATGCTAAAAACAGCCCTTAGGATTGTCGTTAGTGTTGAAAAAGTGTGTAAAAAAATATTTTGGAATATGTGAAAAGCGTATTGGGATTATAAATATTTTGGCATTTTTGTGGTCCTTATTGACAGCCCTTTGGGTTGTCATTGGCTGGACCCATAAAAACAAGTAATAAAAGTGTCAAAAAAAGAGAGAGGTAAGCTCATTTAACCTCGATAGCAACTCAAGTCCTGTTGAACTTGAAGATTGAACATTAAAAAATGTAGATTTATGATTTTAATAGCTAGAGGAAAAAAAAAGTTAAAAATCGCTTTATATATAAAATTTATAAAAAAATAGAAACGTAAAGGTGTTGTGACAGCAATGTAATGGCTGTTACGGCCTTTATTTAACGGTGGCGGCCATTACGGTTGTAAATTTTTGTCACATCACTATAGCGGTGGCGGTAACCACCGAATACGTAATAGTTGTGGCCGCTTTTTAAAACCATGTGATATGGCCTGAAATAATGTAGAAGAAGACCAGCAAAGGAAAATCACAGAAAAATAAAAATGTGAATACTTGCAACTGATTTAGGGCATAACGTTGATATACAAAGAGGCATATATCCATGTTGTAAGTGGAAGCCTTGTGAACTAGGCATGGCCTTTACGATTTTTTATTGATATACAAGGAGGCATAACAGTGCCTCCACAAGATATAAGGAACTTAAACAACAATGCACGCATGCACTGTTTAAAAGCACTCCGCAGCCAAAAAACCAAAAAAACAAGAGCTATCATTGGATCTACGTGACAAATTTGAGTCTACATACCTTGGGTATCATATCAACATTGTAGTCCCTGCTTGAACCTAAACTTTCTGGAGGTATCTCACCCCCCCTGAAATGCTTCCAAAGCTAATGGAAAGATGAGGGTAACATGGCAACGGAAAAATTAAATAAAAATGAAAATGGGAATTATAGAAGCTCAAATTGGAGCACAAATATACATATACATAACACACATTATTCAATAGGTTAAGTTGGAGCACTTCCGTATAACTATAGAAAAAGTTACCTGAGTAAGATGAAGGGATGTTGATTCTCCTCCATAATAGTCATTTCTGTCCATATGCAATACCTGTTCGAGATGATTACCAGTGAAAATCTAGACAACACAATTTTCAATTAGCTTAAGAAACGATAAAGTGTGAAAAGTGACCTTGACAACCTATAAGATATATTAAAATGAGTTAATTCACTGATTTAGTGGCCGATCCAATATGAAAAATAAACTATTTTTGCTCTCTTACTGTGCTTAAATTAAGGACAACTATACTATATCTAAGCTGCCTAGCGCATTCAATCATTCAACTGACAAGAAATCCATATGGGGTTGGTCTGTACTTAAGAGAACATTGAGGACACGAATGGACATGTTCCATCAATGTGCTCAGGGTTGAAATTAAACACATCTCACAGCACAAGAAACTAAGAATAATTTTACATTGAGTTTGGAAAAATAGGTAGTATGCTTCAAGAATCTTTGAGAAACTTGAAACCCACACGGTGTTCCCATTTTTAGGAAAGAGAAATTTAATCAACCAACTAGTACTAATGGAATACAAGAGCTGTCCAGTAGCCTAATAATAGGACCAAAATGAGAATACGCATATTTTCTCTACCAAAACTTCATGCCATAAAAAAAATTTAGAAATTAGAAACTTAGACATAAGGCATGAAGAAGGGAGTTGAGCTCCTGTGTGTATTAGCAGCCTTCTCTCTGCTAAATTCTTTCTTAAAAGAGGGAAATGGAAAGAATCCACCATGTTCTATGTTTTCAATGATCTGTGGATAGAGAAAACACAAAGAATCATCTTAAGAAATGAATTTTTATACCTTGCTGTTCACTTAATTACATATAAATCTCATAAGCTTGAACAAAGCCTTTTTTTTTTATGGGGGGCAGCCAACCCCAATCAATTGGAGATGAGTTGCTACTTTTCCATCAAAGTCAAGCAATGACAGAGTCAGTACCTAAAAGTAATGTCCGTTATGACCCAGTCCAACAGTAGGCCTCCCGGTTGTTTTGGGCAACAAGCCTAAAAAGCGCCTCTAAAGTAGAAGTGTCATCCATCGTCTTATAAGTCCATTATGAATGTCATCAGCATTCAATGTGGAATGTCATATTCCCAATAAACTAAGATTCGACGTGGAATGTCATATTCGTAATAAACTAATATGGTGTTTGGTGCGCTAGAATGATTTTGAGCAACAATGGTGACTTCATTTTAAAATGCACATTTCTTCTTCTTTTTTTTTTTTTCTTAATAAACCAATCCTAAGAATAAATATTCTAACAGAATGACAATTCAAATCCCGCCTTCGTTCCACTGAACCTAACACTGCCTTAAGAGATCTATAATAAGTCAAATTTGACAATTTCAAGCTCAAGATCAGGATCAACAATTTCAACGATAATCTAGGAGAACTTGAACTGCAAATGATCCAAGAACACTGCAGATTGAGCACACTCAAATCTCTCTCAGTTTAATAAAATCAATTTAAAAACATATATATATATATAGAGAGAGAGAGAGAGAGAGAGGGAGAGAGAGGGTTTACTTTGAGTCCATCGACAGAGAGAAGACCGCTGAGAATACATTCCTTGAGACCGGTGCCCAGGACTATCGCATCGTACTCTTCATCCATTTCGACGTAGAGAGAGAAAGACTGTTTTCGAGATACAGAGAGAGAGAGACAAAGAGAAGGGGGGCGGGGGGAGAACAGGGCTAAAGCGGGAACGAGCGTAACGAGAATGGCGTCAACCAAATTGAATGAGTTTTTCTTCAACGTGAGAGAGTTGCTTTATACGCTCTTTTCGTGCCCATGCGCGAATCGGGTCGGACTTTCTCCAAAAAAGGAAAAAATTTATATGCACGTGGGGCTGAACCCGGACTGGATCCATATTGGGCCCCGCCTAAAAAAAATATTCCAGAATTTGACCCGGTTAAACCATCTTCAATCCAACACCAAGTTCTGTTTGGTTGTATTCTCAAAATACAATTTTACCTGTCCATTCGTGCTTTACGTTGAATACAATTTTCAAATCATAATTCCATCATACCATTCAAAATACATCTCCATTTTTTGTTTAACAACTTTTTTCTTTATTTCTTCACTATAAAAAGCTTCCAATGGTACATTTCCATCTCGTGTCTTCCGTTTTTTTCATTTCTGAAAAGCTTTTCGTCTTTTTCATTTCTGAAAAACTTCACGTGCAAAAAGAAATTTAAAGTTGAACATCACTAGTCGTCTTCCTCTGTTTGAAAGATCATGGTTGATGATTTGTCACGGGTGGTGTTCGTCTCTGTGAACTGAGACCATTTTTTAAACCATGTCTGTGAACCCCCTTCCCAACCATACCAGCTCCCACAAATCAAGCGAGTTGCAGTTTGTGCGTTGTGGAAGATTCACTCTCCAAGCAACCGAACAATGACGAGACTGAGGTCAAATAAATCACAAATTTCTCTCAAAATTGTTTTTACAGCTCACTGATTTTCTGAAACGTCCCTAAATTTATTTCAAATTTATTTGTCTCAGGTCAAATTTATCAAATCTATTCGCGAATCAAACGACTACCAAAGAAGCGCACATCCACCCACTGTACCCACTCTATCACTAGTGACAACTATTCCACTCCTACTAATCTAGTACGTATGTCCTTCAATCCATCTGCTATGTAATAGGTGGTGAGAAGTCGAAATGGGTTCTGATCTATTCTGATCTGTCCAAGCTGAGCCAATCAACCGCCAGGACAACTGGCCGGTCGTCCCCCAGGTCATCCGCCCTGTTAACCACTGTTTTTTCCCCCACGTCTGGCTCGACCTGCACTCACCCCCTTCCGTGCTTCTTTTCTTCTGTTCTCCTTCTTCTGGTTATTGTTTACTGCGTACACTTGTTTCACAAACTTTTTGCAGGCAATATTATCTGATTTTTATTGTTGTATATGTGTTTGCCCAACACTGTTTAAGAACTTCAATTAATCTTCTTTTCACAACACTATTTAACAACTTCAATTGATTAATTTTTATCCATACTAAAACATAATTGTAGTTGATTTTTGCATTGTTATTTTTTTATATCCACTTTAGATTAGTTTAGATATAAATTGTGTGTTGTTAGATGGATGGGAACAATTCAGATGACAATAAGGATACAAGAATGTGGAGTTTCAGAATTGAAATGAAGTTAATAAACATGTTGAGAGAAGAGGTACAAAAAAAATCAAACAACAGGCTGTAGTATTGTGTGGACAGTTAGACATTGGAATCATTTTGAAACTCAGTTGCAAAATCTGTATGGATTTTGATACACACCAAAACAAGTGCGACAAAAATATCAACGATTGAAAGCTGATTACCAAACTTTCAAGCGACTGCAGGCACAGACCGGTCAGGGATGGGATCCCATTGTAGGAACTATTGTTGCACCTGATGAATTTTGAAATAAGGTTTTGTAGACGTGATTAAGGCCGAAATGTACATCATTGAGGCCGTTAATTAGAATCTCTTAACTTCACTTGCTGGTCAAACTGTATACTTTATGTGTGTTGAGTGTCAATCATGTTGTACATCGTCGGAGCATAAAATGAGCAAAAAGACAGAATTTGGGCAGAGTTGACTTTTCCACACATGCGTTGACTTTCCCGCACATGCGTTGACTTTTTCTGAGAAAGTCAAACCGACGTTTTAAACTTGTTTGGATGAGATTGGAAGTATAAAAAGGCAAGTAAAAGGTTGGATTAGGGTTCGGAAGTTGTTGGGACCTAAAGGGAGAGGCTAGGGTTTGCAAAGAGAAGAGAACAAAAGCTTCAAGGATGTCTTCCATGGTGGTTCCTTCTCCATCTACCTCCTTCCACTCCTCTATGAGTGGCTAGTGTCCTTTTCTAGGGTTTGATGAAACCCTAGCCATGCAATTATTTTGTTTTCTTTTTGATTTTTAATTATGTAATGGATTGAACAATTGTATGGTGATTTAGAAGTTCATATATATATTTTTCATTATCTCTTCGAATATTTGACTTTCTGTGATTGTTGAATATTATCCATACATGAGTTTTCTATTCCTTCACATTCAAGGTATGGGACGAACCATGCTACGAGGAACGAGTCGTATCACTACCCTAGTTTAGAGTGAACGATTCGTATTACTTGAGATGGTTCGTGCTCGTACATTGAATGTGATGATCTTCTTGTTAAATGCTTTGAGCTTGTAGTTGCGAAGCATTAATCCGTTCAAACCATAGCATAATTAATTTCAATTGGAAGCCCTAATTATGTGGTTAGTGGTAAATTCTCTACCCTAGGATTTTTCCCTAATTCAGTAAACCCAATTTCATTTATTATTGATAATTTAATTCCTTAGTTTAATTTATTCGTTATTAAATTAGGTTATAAACAACCAATCTTTTTATCAAAATTAATTTAGGAATTTGACAATTAAATTAGTTTAATTTCACAATAGTCCCTGTGGATCGATACCTGGACTTGCCATTATTCTGATTGAATTTGGTATAGTTTAGTATTTAATTTTGGTGTGTTCAACGACCCATCAAATTTTTGTGCCGTTGCGGGGGACTTTTGGCGAAATTAGTTAATTTAAAGTTACATTCGTATTTTAATTTTTAATTTAGGATTTTATGCTTTTGGTGTTGCTAAGTGTGCAGAGCGTTTGAAATTGAAGCTATCACTGAAGTGCAAACGGAGCGCAGCCAAGCTTTAAAAATAAAATAAAAAACCCGCAGCGTTAAAGTGAGTAAACAGAAGCAAACACTCACAAGCAAAGCACCAAAGTGCTAAAACGGAAGTCAAAGCTCAAACAGAGTGTCTCCCATGGTGGTTCCTTCTCCATCTACCTCCTCCCACTCCTCCATGAGTGGCTAGTCTCCTTTTTCTAGGGTTTTGATGAAACCCTAGCCATGTAATTATGTAGTTTTCTTTTTTGATTTTATATTATGTAAAGGTTTGAACCATTGTATAGTGTTTTAGAGATTCTTTATATATAATTTTCATTATCTTTTCAAATATTTGACCTTCTGTGATTGTTGAATATTATCCATACATGAGTTTTCTATTCCTTCACATTAAAGGTATGGGACGAACCATGCTACAGGGAACGAGTCGTATCACTACCCTAGTTTAGAGTGAACGATTCGTATTACTTGAGATGGTTCGTGCTCGTACATTGAATGTGATAATCTTCTTGTTAAATGTTTTGAGCTTGTAGTTGCGAAGCATTAATCCGTTCAAACCGTAGCATAATCAATTTCAATTGGAAACCCTAATTATGTGGTTAGTGGTGAATTCTCTACCCTAGGATTTTTCCCCAATTCAGTAAACCCAATTTCAATTATTCTTGATAATTTAATTCATTAGTTTAATTTATTCGTGATTAAATTGGGTTATAAACAACCAATCTTTTTATCAAAATTAATTTAGGAATTTGACAATTAAATTAGTTTAATTTCACAATAGTCCCTGTGGATCGATACCTGGACTTGCCATTATTCTAATTGAATTTGGTATAGTTTAGTATTTAATTTTGGTGTGTTCAACGACCCATCAAATTTTTGTGCCGTTGGCGAAATTAGTTAATTTAAAGTTACATTCGTATTTTAATTTTTAATTTAGGATTTTATGCTTTTGGTGTTGCTAAGTGTGCAGAGCGTTTGAAATTGGAGCTATCACTGAAGTGCAAACGGAGCGCAGCCAAGCTTTAAAAATAAAAAATAAAAAACCCGCAGCGTTAAAGTGAGTAAACAGAAGCAAACACTCACAAGCAAAGCACCAAAGTGCTAAAACGGAAGTCAAAGCTCAAATAGAGATTGGAGATAACGTCTAAACGTCAAGCATCCGTAAGACGAGTAAAGCGTTTTCGTTAAACCGCTGTGAGTATTTCTTCCTTTGGTATTTTGCTTTCATACTTAGTGCACAGAGTCGGAACTTGTTGTGTGTGTTTGGGTAGTGTATGCACGGGCGTCATTCTTGTCGCCCTGAATTGTAGAGTTTGGACCTTGAACTAGAAAGGACCCTTAGGAGACTTAGGACCTCTGCACGTATTCCTAGGCTTGAATATTCATACATTGAGCCATTAGAGATGGCAAATCCTAATGTCCCGGATGTGCCCAACCGGACACTTAAAGGATTATTTTACACCTACTGTATATACATCACCATCATGCATCCAATTGCCCAACACCACTGCTGCTCATTATGAGATTAAGTCCAGCACCATACAAATGCTCCCATCATTCCATGGACTAACTCATGATGACCCTTATAAGCATTTGAATGAATTTCTGGAAATTTGCTCGACAGTAAGGATCCAGAATTTCACAAATGAGGCCTTAATGTTGCGATTGTTTCCATTCTCGTTAAAGGATAAAGCCAAACACTGGCTAAATTCTTTACCTGCTAATTCAATCACAACTTGGGACCAATTACAGCAACGGTTCTTGGAGAAGTATTTTCCCATAGGTAAAACCAACCAACTTAGGCGAGCCATCACAAACTTTGCTCAAATGGATGGCAAGCAATTCCATGAGACTTGGGAACGACTTCGAGACCTTCTCCAACAGTGTCCCCACCACCAAGTGCCTAATTGGCAACTTGTTCAAACATTTTATTATTGCTTAACTGAGCCACACCGCCAAATGGTGGATTCGTCCTGCGGTGGGACATTTATGTCTAAAAATGATGCCGAGGCATGGCAATTGTTTGAGAACCTAAGTGATAATTCCCTTCACCATGCCTCCGC